GCAGATGTGGAAAGAAAACACCATCCTGTTGAGTTCTGCTCTTAAACCAAGGGTAATAGTTGGAGCAACCATGTGATAAACCAAAATACACACAGCAAAGGCCAGACAGAAGCCTGGGAGATGAGACAGAAGAAAACAGCTAGACAGACACATCCAGCAGTGCTGATTTTCTAAATTTCCGTTCCTCCACCCTGCCACAAAGCAGACCAAGAACAGCTCTATGCCCCTGAGCACACTAGCTCAGGCACACCCTTGCACCACCAATAATTCAGGAGCACTCATCACTTACTCCTTGACTCAAGACTTGCCCCTTCTGGGACTTCCTTGAAGTCATTCTTCACATTACAGCAGTTTCTGCAAGTCAGTGAGGAGTCTGAAGTGGTGGGTCCTGAACATGTGGGGTATGTGTCCATGAAGTTAAACACTGAGACAGCTTCAGCAAACTTAAAGATAATCTCTGATGCCTTAAAGATCAATACAGCATTCTTCTGAATGAGCCACACACTCTGGCAGTGCTCGCTCCAACATCAATATCAATTTCCTCCATCAACAGGAGGCAGAATAATAGCAACTTCCTCTGTATAATGCAGCCCTTAATTGTCCCAGATCAAATACTGGCTCCCAGAGGCTATTCATTCTGCTCTATAGGTAACCATGTCCTAGACAAGATGCAAAAACTTTTATCAGCAAATGTTAAATGCTGCAGGAAGCCCAGAAGGCGCGTATGGAGACTGCTAATAACATTAATCTACCACATTACTGCACTGTCTCTAACTGAACATGCAAACCACTGCTGAGAGCAACGTGGGTACTCCAGTGACCAGAAAACACTTGCAAGCTCTTGCTCATCTGAGAGGCAGCAAATCCATACAACCACTGTCAGGTCAGGTTTTTTCCCCCCTGTATCAGCTCCACACCACCTCTGATTCCCCTCCTAATGACAAAGTCTTCATTGATTTCAACAGAACTCAGCAAGACCTAGCAGAAAACGAACTAAAGAAAAGAGGGAAATGTCAAGTGAGTCATTAGCGGGTAGAGAAAGGAACTGTGTAGTAAGTAGTCTTCAACATACTTTTCCTCCTTTAAAATAAACAATACCACAAATTGAGGGAACCCTTTGACATTAGTGAAGCTGCAGCAATAACAAGCCCTGCACAGTCTGCAGGAGTGAGGAATTCCTCCACTCAAAGGGATTACTTATGCCAAATGCCAATACACACACAGGTAAAATTAACCTGCTTGTTTGGAAACCTCTAGATGGGAGTTCAGATCTGAAAATACAAGAGCAGACCCAAACAGAAAGAAGCAAGCAAACCAGCACAAACCTAGGAGATTTTTCCCAACTTCAAACAGCTAAGAAAATTCCTTTATTTTTTCATCTTTTGGCTGCTATTGCCAATGTTACGACCTTTGTGTTGAGCAGGCACTCAGATGCTGAAATGGGAGGAGAATGTATTTCCCATCATTAGCAGGAGCAGGCATGGTCCCGCTATCTTTCTAACTCTGTTACGGCACAAACATACTTTCTTTTGAACATACTTTGGTGCGTACTCCCATGCATGCATCTTTTTTATTTGATCTGCCCTCAGTTACCACAACACAGCCCTTTTTCCTAGCGCTGGTTACTACAGCAACAGAATCTGTTTGAGTTTGGTAGCAACACATTGTAGGCATCAAAATATCTGCTATTAGCTCAAGAAACATGAGACTACATGTCAGCAGCCCATGCCACAGAGATATCTTCCTGTAACACTTCACCCCTGTCTCTGTAATTATGAAACTCTATGAATCCCCACCTCCTTGGCAGAGCACAAGCCTGAGCAACCTCTGCCTTCAAAGGATGCACAACAGAGGTGCACTGCCCACCATATCCTGTGTGCCTGCCACTGCAGAGAAACCACAACGAGCCAGATCTGATGGACTTCACGGCCAGAAATATATTATATTCCACAGATGCTATTACGGGCACTAGCAGTTAAAGCCAAAGTTTCACTTTAAATTCCATATGGTACCACATCTGCATTCTTCTGCACACACGTATTAGTACTAATAAAAAAAGAAGGTTGGGGGGGGGGGGTGTCTTCTTTTTTTTTGGGGATTTTTGTTTTGTTTTTTTAAACTAGGAGTCTTCCTGTACTGTCATTTCACTGCAAAGAGACTGTATTAGATATTATATTAAGTTACTCCACTGAACTCTTGTACAACTCGGAAGGAAAAAAAATGCTCAGTGCACAGTTATTTATCTAAATCACTGCCTTGGGACACAAGAGGGTTTTTATTGCAGCAGGTGAACAATTACTAGTACTTAGCTGTCAGGTGAGAGACTGCTTCTTCCCCCCAGCTACAGTACAGCCCAAATACAGCACATACGTACTCGACATTAGCAATATACTAAAGACAGCACGGTCTGGTCAATCTGATCATTTCTCAGCCACAGCCAGCCATGATAGAAAGTTCAGCCAGACTATTACCACTGTTACTAATTAGTTTCTATCCTGAGAGAGTAACCCATGCCAGATTTGCTCCTAATTTAAACTGAGGGAACTTACCCAAAAATGTTTTATCCGGTCTCACACAGTGTAGCCCCTACTGAGTGAGCGTGCTATCATGAAAAAGCAAACTGATATAAATATAGCACAGTGACAGTATACACTCTGTGGTTATTTCCTCTGTGAAACAGAGGAGAATGAAGTGGGTAAGCTGCTCAGCCAGCTTTCTGCTAAGGCCACTGAAAATTGCATTGATGGCATCAACAAAAATAATCAGTTAAAGACAAATCTGAGCAAGTAATTCTCAAACAACATTTTAAACTGAGAAATTTGACCTCCTGTCAAGTATTCACAAACCTGAGAAGACATGTACATTTCCACCAGCTTCTTCTCCATTTATATTCATTCACAGAATAGATTTTTTTTTCCTGTTAGCTTTTATTGTTACTAACCAAATTGATTGCAGGTTGATGTAAGAATTAATCATCCCATATCTGAAAACCTACTTGTGATGGATAGGCTGGGACAGGCCAGATAAACTTCATTGTTGGTATGGCTGATTGGTTGAGTGTGCATACACATGCACTCTTCTGCAACCCATAATTCATATGTAGAAATTCAGATCATGATTTTCACAGCTAAAGCTAGTAAAGCAAACACCCCAAAATGCTTGGGTTTTTTTTTTTAAAGACTCTACATGTAGAAAGGAACATGGTTAGAAGCATATGTCTGAAGGGAAAATAATGAAGCAGCATATAGTAAGCAGAAATCATTTTCTGGCAGTATCTTCCCAGCTACAGTTGAACTGCCAACTTTAAAGAAGTTATTTTAGCATACAAGATGAATGTATCTCAGGAACAAAAAGAATCACTCTTCCTAACCCTCCTCTCATACACCCTCCTCAATCCTGTTCTCAGACATGAAGCATTGCTTAAAAAATGCCCATGGAACAGACTGAAAGAAGTTGCTGCTTCTCTATATAGTTATTTATAATAGATAATCTTAAAATCACTCTTAATTCCAGCTCATCATTTATGGTGTTGGCAATGTTGCTCCAGTGAATTTAGACTCATTATTCACCTTTGGGTTATACAGTATCTTCTCTTTTATATATCATCCTGCTTTATCCAGTGGATCCCTCACAAGCATTTACAGAACCAAGTAACAGTGAATAACGATCCAAGGACAAAGCTAAATGCTGAAATACTATGATTTTATGGCCAGTTACAGGAAAACATGGACACACTTCAAATATGCAGAAGAACCTCTTTAGGTAAAGCAGCAATACATCCAGGAATGACATAGCACGCTATGTAGTTAGTCTTTCCAACAGGCCTCTGCGCTATCCCAAGACGCTGAACACCATTCAGAAAGCCAGCGGGACTGTTCAACTTTGCTGTCTGTGGTCATATCCCAGCTGCATTCAGTCACGCTTGGGAACTTGATAAAAATGTCTTTGCAAAAAAAACCCCCCAAAACCAAAAAAAACAAAACCAGTAATGGGATCATCCATTCAGTTGAAGGTCACATCGAGACAGGGACAAGGGGACAAGTGCACAGAGTTTTGGTTACTGGAAACCATACTAACAAGTGCAGAAGGATGGCAGCAATGGCAGCCCACACTTCACTGATTTATTGCATTGGAGCCATATATCTAGTGACAAGTCCTGCGGAAAGAAGAATGAACCAAGCTGGTAAGTTTTTCAGAGAACAACTTCACCTACAACATCCTCTTTAAACCTGCTGGAGAAGGTACTGCTGCTGAAACCCATGAACACTTTACCCCAATAACAGAGATGTTTCATTGGGTAACTGAAGCCAAATTTCACATCTTAACCATCTGGAAGAATTTTGCAACATGATCACCAGAATCATGAGTTCTACTTCAGGCTCACCATGCCTCAAAATAGACCTCAGCAGCTTCCGCATCCCATTCTGTTACAGGGATCACATTATCTGGGGTCCTGCCACAGCATGCTGGGTCACAGCACCTACTCCGTAACAGGCACTTCCTTGCTAAAACTTGATGGTGGTAGTGACAAGGCATGCGTCTCCTCTCAGTCTCCTTATACTGCGATGATCACTCAGACACAGACAAATGCTTCGGAACAGGAAGGGAACTAGGATATCCTGGGGGGGGCGCGGAATCTTCATCACATATACCACTTGGAAATTCTTCAGCTAAAACTCAACCATAAGCCACCAATATCAGAATTTAAAACAATCCAGGCAAACACAATAGAAGGAGTGAGCATCTTCCTAATCATCCAGTAATAATCACCACGGCTGTCAACCTTTACCATTGCTACAATACAAGGAAATATCACTGTGTTTCCCTGCTGCTTACAACTGCTTGGTGTAGAGACCCATGCCAAGTTACCTTCACAAGCATAGCAGCACATGGAGAAGAGGCCTCAAGGCATCCCTTCAGCTGGCATCAAACAGAAAACAAGAGCGAGATGCCAGCCCGCAAGAAAAGCCTTCAGTGAGAAGAAGTTCACAGAGCCTTACCTATGTAGAGGGAGGAATCTTTCCGCCTCACGTGGTCATCAATGTAGGAAACTCCCAGGGGCTGGACAGGGGTAGCACCAATGCCCAGGAGGACCTGTGCTCCAATGAGCAGCAAGTACATCATATTGGTAGCAGTCCTATTCCTGCAGATAAGGTCCGGGTCTGGTCCCTCATCACTGGTGGACCCGTTGGCAGCACACACATCCCTCCCTTCAGCCCCCCAGCGTATTTCTCCCGACTCATATTCATACTGGTGGGTCAGAAATTCAGGCAACGCGGAAAGGAGGGCACCCAAGGCCATGACTATCCCTCCACATCCTATCAAGCGCGGCCGGTGTCCTCGGGCTCCGAAGTAGCTCACAAAGAGGATGAGGGCCAGGTTGCCGATCTCAAAGCTGCTGGCAATGACGCCCACGTCAGCACTCTGAAGGTTGAATCGCCGCTCCAAGGTGGTTAAAACACTCACCTACAACAGAGAAAACCAGAGAAAATTACTGAAAGGAAATACGACCTGCCTTCTGTCCTCCCCGTATGTCCTGCTAAAGCATGTTTCCTTGACTTTCCCTTGGAGCCAAAAACGTACACATCGAGGACATCCAAATCACAGTATAGCAGTAGTTGACCTCCAAGCATGATCTGACTATTCAAATACAGCCACATCAGAAGGTCCTAATACCAACTGACATTTCACAGCCTACCACCTGTCTGAGTGCATGTTCACTTCCAAATTCCTGCGTACATCAATGTATATTTTGGGTGTCTGCAGAGACCCATGACTCCATGATTGGTTAGCCTCTCTTTGGGCTCCCTTTCTATCTGAATGCACAGCCTTCACGTTCCAAACACTGTTCCACAGAACCAAGGCACAAACCACACCAAGCCCCACATCATGCTGGGCACCCAATCTTTCTCTTGGAATGAATCGCAGTTAGCGAGCAGCAGAAAACCTTGCGGACACTTGGCTCGCACACCAGCACAAGGCCATCAAGTCAGAGACAGCGATGCACAAATAGGCAATCTGGCCAGCATAGAAGACTTTCTATTAAAGTATGTAAATAAAATGCTGATCAAAGGGTTTAAACTGTTTGTGGATTAGTTAATGACTGGGATCATCACTTACAGAGTATTTTTGAGAAGACAGGCCAATTAAGGTTTACATAGATGATTTAAATCCACCACGGAGAAGGGAAGATTTAACAAATAGTGGTTATTTAACACTAAGAAGAGAGAAGCACATGAATAGTCTTCAAATATTTAACTGCTGTGAAAAGGAATGACCTGTTCTTTGTATTCAAAATGGGCAGGACAAGAAGTGACAGGTTTAAACTGCAGCAGAGATGATTCAGGTTAAATACAAGTTGGGGAGAAACCGGAGTTTTATTGGTAAGGATTGTGAAGCACTGAAATACGCTGCCTGGAGAGGCTGCAGAGGTCTTTAAAAGAGCATAGACCAGCATGTGTCAGGAAAGACACAGGTACGACCGATCTTGCCATAGGGCAGGAAAATGAACCAGATCATCTCTTGAGAGCTCCTCCCGTCTTGGTTACATGGTGCAATGAAACACAATGTGGATTTTCTGCAACAGTTATAGCACTGATCAGAGTATGAAGATGAAACATCAGGTACCTCACTTGCTGTCATCCCTGCTGAAGGGACAAAACTCAGTGCATTCTCATGTCTACAGCAGTGTCCCCCTTATACGGGGCGGGGGGGTGGGGTGGGGACGGACCAACAAAATCTTGAACATGTCACAGAAATGCCAAAAACTTTTACCTTGGATAAAAGGCTATCTTGTTTTTCAAATTGCAAAAGATGAAGATATTTAAAGTTTTGCTAAAACAGGCAGGCTTCTCTATTCAAAAAACCATGTGATAAAGACCTCAGAGCAGAAGGTAGCCCCTGGATAGAATAAAAATAGCCTCCCACTGGAAGCACTGGAAATCTTTGCTGATAAACCTCACAAATCAGGAGCCAGTCTGACCAACTTTAAAGTATTCTGACAGCAGCTCTTCTCTGGGGGCAGTTAGCCTCTGTTAGGGTACACCAGGGCACAGTTGGACAAAGACAGTCCCATCGGCAACAAAATGGAAAAATGGAAACAACCTGCTGCTTTGCATAAGCAAAAGCTCCCAAACCTGACCCTGATAAGTGTCCAAGTCAGACCTCCAAAACTGGACTGTTTTAATGATTTCTGAAAATTCAGCCTTCATCCCACACAGGCAGTTATGATTTTATACTACCACTGTAACCCTCCCCCACTAATGAGCCAAGAACTGAGCAAGGCAAAAAACAAACCCCCTAAAAAAAAAATCAAACCCTATGACTGAAGGCAATGCAATAGCAATAATTCTTCCCCATGCCAAAACCAAGTGAAGATGTGCGTGTCAGAGGGAGAGGAGATTGCCATTTCATCTGAAACAGCAGGTGCAGGTACCTGTTGGGATTAAACAGCTCTGCGATTCACCAGGGGAAACCATGTCCTCTTGAGCGAGGAGGGCACAGCACAGTCTGTCCCCGCTCCAGCGACCTCGGCTACGCTGCTCGGCCAGCAGTGCTTGAGCACACATCTAACAGCGACATCACTCTTCCCAACCCTTCATGGGAGCCAGGGCGACAGAGCTGAGAGATGGCAACAGACACTGCTAGAAAACACTACGTTGGTATTTTCAAAGCAAGGCACACCAAGGTGGAGGGATATGGTTAACATCCCGTTGTCCCAGACAGCCCCACCAGGCACTCATGTGACAGAGCTACATTTATCATCCACAACACAGGGCTGGTTTTGTTGCAAGGTGTAATCTAACAGGGCTGGTGCAGTCAGACTGGTAGGACTCCAGACTTCAACACCACACAGCAAACACCAACAAACTCTAAGCGATGAAAAGCCCTGCTATGGGAGCCCTCCTTCATGCTACCACCTCCAGCACGTCCTTAGAGGAACTCGGCTATAGCTGAGGTCCCATGAACACCAATTTTGGCAGAATGGGGAATCTCTCCAAGATGAGTACTTAACTCTGAGCTTGCAAAAACATGTCTATGGTGCTCATTTTTGAGCTGTACCTAGATAGGAAACTCATAATTACTCATTACAGCTGTGTAAACTGAGGCATAGAGAGCCAAATATTAATGAGACAAGTACAGTAAACAAAATTATTTGTGATGGAATAATTTAGGCTGGAAGACTGAAAGCCAACAGAAGTGATTTCCCGAGGCCAACTGGTATTAACTAGCTTTGGAAGCCTCTCCCATATTTCGACCTGGCTGCCAAATTTTAGGCTTTTATCATACATATATACAAGTGGCTAGAAAGCAGGATGATATTTAGAAACACTTGGGTGCCACACCTTACCAGGGTCAGATTTTGGACAGCTGGATTTCAGATAAAAAACTGCACCATTTCTAAGTGCAATTCACAGTGACAGGGACAGTAAATTGATGACAAACCTGGGAACTAAAACCAGAAGTCCCAATTCTCATTCTGCTCTTATTTCAATGGGACTTCAGTTGTTCTCTGCCTTTTTAGAAAAGCTAAACCACTCACAACAGAGAAACAGAGCCTCACCATCCCAACAGTTTCTTGCTTTGCTTTGGTGATGAGACTGAAACAAAAGGAGGAGGCGGATGACGACACAAAGCAAACTCCAATCCTCCTGATAAAAGCTGGCAGGAGTTCTCCTTATTCCTCTGGCCAGACCACACTGTGTTTCCCAGCTTGCTCCTTCTGGCTGTAGCGCTGCCACCCAGTGCTACCAGCTCTGCCTTTATTAAGTGGGGTATGGGGTGCAGGGGAGGCACGGTGAAAGAACAAAACCATCACATCAGCCTTGAGCATCCAGAGGAAAACAGCATCCAAGTACGAAGCGCTGAGACCAGCGTCAGCAGAGTAGCCTCCAAAACACTGACAGTCATGGGGAAGGGTGGAATATCCCAAAATAAAAATAGGGCTGGGAAATAAACTGTCAACATGCAGATTTTTAGCCAGAGAACACCAGGAACACAACTGCATTACATCCAGGGTGGCTACAGCCCAGACAGCGCAGCCCAAATTCTTGCTTTGACATTGGCTGTGACCTTAAATACACAGGCCGACTACAAAATCGGCATTAGCACAGCAGAGATGTTACCTGCATTTATTCAAAACAAACCCCTGCCAACGGCAAGACTCATTCTCCCCCCGCCTCTACACCCCACCTTTATGGGGCTTCCTGCATATAAGGTGTAACCTGACTAAATACTTGCAGTTTGCACGTGGGATGCTCCTGGTGCCCTTGTAACTGTTAGATAAAAGAGCACTGTACTGCCCATATTTCCTTTCACAAGCCTGCTCCCCAGCAGATAAGCCATCACCACTCCTAGACACTAACTCTATTTATCGAGAGTTACATAAAATGTTGCAAAAGACATGACAGGTCCCTGTAAAATACTGACATCATGTGAAAAGGCTGCAAGGATTATAAAGAGTCCCTGTGTGCCGAGACCAGGTTGAGCATTCAATTGCGCAGCCCACGTGGATGTTGGCTTAACAGCAGGGATGCAGGGAATGGACTGGTGCAGCAGCACAGCAGCTTCAGATGGACAACCTCCTGCTAAAACACAGTGGGAAACGCCAGGAGCCCACATTATTAGCTGTGAAGCTGCTATTTCCTGGCTCCTGTCAATTTACACAGCTGTTTTGCCAGGGCTGGAAAGACTAGATTAAAAGAATATTCAGTTAAAAAAGCTTCTAAGCTGAGATGAAAACAGTTACCAGGAAGTTATTACAACATCCAGTGAAATTCAGGCAGACAAGATACATGAGAGACATGCGGTTTGATGCCAAAAAGTTAGCAGTGTGAAACCACCCACTGGACCAGAAAAGTCCAGAGAAGGCGTGAGAGGACAGAGGTAGAGACAGCATTGTAATCGTGGCAAATGCCAGTGCCCACGGTGTTTGGAACAGCACTGAAGCTACAGCTTTGTATGGGTATGTGCCTGTGCTAAAGGCAGCTGTACCTTGCCTGCTACTCTTATGTCCTCATGTCTGTCCTGCAGATCATTCCTTAGCAGGTCATCGAGGCTCTGACGAGCAAAGTACTTTAGCTGCAGCACTGTACACAGCCCTCAATCGTGCCAGCCTCGTTGCCTTTTTCCATGTCTCAAGGCCTCCACCACCCCCTTTGATAGGAACTGCCTTTCTGTCTCCAACTACATCCTCTGTCTCCAGTGGGATTCCCATTTCATCCGCTCCAGACATCTCACACTCAGTTTTTAAGAGCAGCTCCACTAAGATTTAGCTATGGCATTAGAGACGTCAACAGGACTGTGCGGCTGTTGTTAGTCCACAAGTTCATGCTCCTCCAGACTAAGTCTACACCAGATCAGTCAACTGGACTACCGTAAACTAAATCAGGTTGGGCATCTGTGCATCTTGCTCATGCAGAAAGCAGGCTTGGAATCTAGAAAGATCATGTAATCCAGCCTTCTGC